ACGGGGACAGCCTCATAGACAGGGTCGCGCAGGTCGAGGAGAGGCTGGGGCGGGAGGGAGGGAGTGGCTGCAGAGGTGCCTGGGGGGGGGTCTCCCAGTGACAGGGACGCCCCATGTCCTGCCTGTCCACGTCCGCGCCCGCGGCGTCTGCACCCCGGCCATGCCAGAGGTTACCGTGGGGCCGTGGGGTGGAGCACGTGGGTGCTCCCCGGCGTTCGGTCTTACATGTGAACTCACTGCGTGTGAATCTACGCCGGTCTCAAGATTTAAAGTTCAATTTAAACACATGAAGCCGCGCGTCCCCGCGCCCACGGTCTGTGCCCACTGCCCAGGTCAAGTGCGTCCAGGATGCCATTCGGGCCAAGAAGAAGACCTTCAACTTCCTGGGGGAGATGATCGGCCTCATCCCCACCGTCGGCATCTTCATCACCATGAACCCCGGGTACGCGGGGCGCACGGAGCTGCCGGAGAACTTGAAGGCCTTGTTCAGGTGCGTGGGGGAGGGGGAGGCGGGCAGGGGAGGAGCAGAGGCGGGCGGAGCCGGGAGAGGGAAGACCTGGTGCAGAAGGGGGTCCCCGGGCAGAGGGGATCCAGCCGGCCAGGGCCCCCTAAAGAGCAGATGCCCACCTCCTGTGCTGCCTTCCCAGAGCAGGGTCCCTCCTGGAGACCAGGGCAGGCAGGGTGCAGGGTGACCCCCAGAGAAGGGTAGAGGGCGCAGGCGCAGGGCCTGAGGGTGGAGGAGAGACAGGGATGTGGGGAGAGGGGAGGGGAGGGGCCTGGGAGCCCAGTCCAGCCCTGGCATCTAGACCAGCAATGCTGCGTGTCCCCTGCTCCCCTCAGGGCCGCTGAGTGCACCCCTGGTGGGAGGGGCCTGGCTGACCCGCTGACCCCTCCAGGCCCTGCGCGATGGTGGTGCCCGACTTCGAGCTGATCTGCGAGATCATGCTGGTGGCCGAGGGCTTCCTGGAGGCCCGCCTCCTGGCCAGGAAGTTCATCACGCTCTACACGCTGTGCAAGGAGCTGCTCTCCAAGCAGGTGCGCGGGCAGCCCGGCCCAAGCCAGGGCCCGAGGCCT